GAAATTTGGAGCTCCGACACGGATGCGACCGCATAATGCATCCGCGGTCCGCAAAATGGGCCGCACAATGGCCCTCCGGAACTGGGATTTTCTGCTTCGGTCTGCGGTCCGCAGACCTGTTCTGCGGTCGCAGAATGCGCCGCAGAACTCCCATCTGACAAATCTCAAAGTTGGATATGCGATCAAAGTGCGGCCTGCGAAATAGTTCTGCGATCGCAAAATGGGCCGCAAAAATGATATCAAAATTGGCCAAAAAGAGTGCCTCACTCTGCGGCTATTCTGCGGTCTGCAGATTGATTCTGCAGCCACATAGTGGGCCGCAAAAATGCCTTTTCTGCAAAATATTTTCCTTTAACTCTGTAGCGTACTGTTCAAGACATAATCCTAACTTGACACCACGAAATTTCGATTTTTAGAAATTTTTTTACGGGGCCTTACAATCTAACCTTACGTTTAGAGGCAATTGAATTTAATTTGACTCCTACATCAACTTGCTCACAAGCCACTATTAACGAGAAAGTACAACTTTGATATCCTATATAGAAGAACTACCCATGTATATCACCTACCTTATTGAACAAATTAAATCTAATAACTTTAGATCATTTAGACTTCAAGTTTATCAGTTGAGTTGCAACGAAATTATCATCCTCACCGTAATTTCACTAGACAAAACATGTTCGGCCTTAAATGTATAAGGTGATAGACTGATAGGGATGTTAAACAACTAGAAGGAATCTTATTAAAAGAGGAGTGCAGAAAAAATAGGAAAAAGAGTAACTAAATCCCCTAATTTAAGACACTAATAATGGATTGTATATAATTTATAAGTAATCCTTGCACTACTAGAATTCTTGCATAAAGCGACCAAAATTTAGCGACCAAAGTTGGTTTGCCAAGAAAAGCGACCAAAGTTGGTTTGCCAAGAAAAGCGACCAAAGTTGGTCGCTAAACTGGTGAATATAATAAAATAATAATTTTAAATAAATTAGTGACCAACGTTGGTCGCAACTTGGTCGAAAATTTTGTCAAACTGTTGACCGGACTGGTCAGACTTGCTTGGTCAAAGAATTACTCAGATTAGCGACCAATGTTGGTCGCTTCATGGGACCCACTTATTAAATTTTAATAATTATAATATTATTTTTAAAAAACAACAAAATATAAATAAATAAAATTTAAAATTAGCGACCAAGGTTGGTCGCTATATAAAGAGAAAACAGATTGAGACCAACTTTGGTCGCTAATTTGGGACCCAGTTATAAAATTTTAATAATTATAATTTTGTTTAAAAAAAATTATAAAATATAAATAAATATAATTCAACTTTAGCGACCAATGTTGGTCGCTCAGTAGAGTATAAACCAACTTTGGTCGCTAATCTGGGACCCGGTTAATATTTTAAATATAATAAAAAAGATAAATAAATCTGATTTAAGTTTAGCGTCCAACATGGGTTGCTAATTTAAAATTATGTATGTTTAGCGACCAAAGTTGATCGCTATTTAGGTCAACAAAGGTCAAAATTAAAAATCACTTTTGTATTTAGTAAATAAAGAATATAAATGTTAGCCGTTAATACTTTTGTAATACAAGGGATGAATAATACTACGTAGCGTGCGTGTGTGTGTGTCTCTCTCTCTCTCTCTCTCTCT